TTCAGCATAATTTCGTGAAGAAAATATTTACACGAAGGTAGAGCGACCGCTTGAAATTCCTTCCCGTGTGTTCAGAAGACATGACTGGAATAAGTTGCCATGACAACGACACGTCTTCTCGCCTTTTGCTACGAAAAGCTGGTGATGCGCTGACGTCGATAGTTTATTATATGGACGATATTTGATTGTATGGTCAATAGTTTGCTAACAGGGATTTATGAAGATGCTTGGAATGCCTTCGTGGCATAAATATGCAGGGTGTATTCTTTTTTTTTTTGTATATTTTTCTTTGGATTCTTTGACTACTACTGTAATTTAGATTTATGATTTGCAGTTGACGAATAAAAATAATAAAAAAAAAGTTTTAGGTTTAAATAACTTTTGGGACGAATAATTAGGGACAGAGATTTCAACTTTACACAATTCTTGTGATAGCTATTCTCCAAGAATTTGTTCAAATTATTTTGTTTTTCCAAAGAAGCAGGTTACAAATAGGCATAAAAATATAAGCAACCAAAATATTAAATTAAAATTAAAAGAGTACTTCCTAATAGTAATTTAGAACAGCTAACCTCATCCACAGTCATTACTAGTCCACTGCTGGACATAGGTCCGCCATAGAAAGGAGGTTTTGGTCTACTATACCTGGCCAGACAGGTTGGTATAGGGTTTGTGTCAAGTTTCCTTCTCTTTTTGCAGTGCTGTTATCCTGCGTAGTATGCTCTTACGGTTCTTACGACACCCACGGGATGACTAGGGGTGGTGACACTATGTATTCTTAATCCGTCGCTGTGGTTAGGTTTCCGTGTAAACCTAACCACAGCTAAAGTCATAAAGCGGAATGTAATAAGTTGAAATTCTAGCTTGGATTCTAATTAAGTACTTTTGCTGTATGGAAATTAAAACATTATTTATTTATTTACAACTTTATGCACTTATGTACAAAGGCGGGCTTAATGCCCAAGGCATACATTATCTATTGTATTATTTATATGTGGGTATGCCAGTGACATAAAAACACTTTTAGTTCATTCTTCGGATAGGGTACAAACGAGCAGCCCGGTCGCCTGATGGAAAGCGAATACCGCCGCCCATGAACGCCTGCAACTCAGGAGTTACAAGTGCGTTGCCGGCCTCGGAAGGATTGCTCTTTTCTTGAAGGTCGTATGGTGTGTATGGTTGTTTCTAGTTTATCAATGATTTATATGGCCTTGCAAGTATAACTTAAGCCATAAACAATTATATTATATGGCCTTGCAAGTATAACATAATTGTTATACTTGCAAGGCCATATAAATCATTGATAAACTAGAAACAACCATACACACCATACGACCTTCAAGAAAAGAGCGTACTCCTTCCTAAAACTCCTGAGTTGCAGACGTTCATGGGCGGCGATGGTCACTTTCCATCAGGTGACCCGTCTGCTCGTCTGCCCCCTCTAACATAAAAAAAAGTTATTTATTTAATAAATTATACTTATATTATAAGGAGGTAAAGTTTGTGAGTTTGTATGTTCGGGGTAATCTCAGGAACTACTGGTTCAAATAGAACAAAACTTTTAGTGTTGAATAGCTCTTTTCTCGAGAAAGCTTCGAATAGGCTTTATAACATCATGCTACGACCAATAGGAGCCGAGTATCAATGAAAAATGTTACGAAAATCTGAAAAATTTAGTCCTTTTGAGACACAGATGAATTTGCGCAAATCAGCTAGTACATTATACGATAGTTGACTTGTTTTAATCATTTTTTTGTATATTACTAACAATCACAGTCATTATAACTTTATAAAAAAATCTGATTTGATATCTATAACATATCTTTGTTTCTCAATACGTATAAATTTTGTTTCTCAATATTTATACCTAGTACTTATATACTTCAAAAACGAGTATATTTGTCTATCTAGTACGTAGCCATAAAAAGGGTTATACTCTACAATAATGCCGTAATATCTTTCGGTACCACGTGTAGGCCCTCAGTTTGGTATGCTCTCTCGAGACGCGGAACGATACCGGGATCAAATTAAAGGTGACTCGTACATTTTTATGGTATCCTGGTATCGGTATTTAGTAATTAAAACCTCTAGTAATAGAGGTGTCATAATGTCCAAATTAATGGGTTAACTGTCGCATATTTTGTTATGCCAAAAACTGGTAGGACGTAAAATAACACTGCAAAGAGCCCCCCTTTTTACAGGTTACCATATTAAAATCTTTGTGTTTGTATAAATATTGTTAAACACGAAATAATGTTTGTGTGATGAAAAAGAATTGCTTTGTTATCCAGACACATCAGAGTTATCAATTACGCCTTCTTAACCCTTTAAAAACTACTATCGGTATTCTTGTGTCTTGTATGAGTCTACCTGATGACATCTTGAAAAGTTTGACTTTTTATAATATATATCTAATATCTACATTTAGTGGATGATCGTTTATATCAAGGATATGTTTTACAAAAATATGCTCTTTTAACAACTCAGTATATCTGTTTTATTCTCTAAATAAATTATGTTAGAACTAGTATAAACCAAACAATGTAAATTGTCATAGTTTTCCGAATAGCTCACTAGTTGGAGCTACTGTCTATGCCTTGATTATGTCATTCTGTTCGGTCGTATAATACTCAATCTTGTCAACTGTTTTTCTGTGCTAACTAGATTATAAATAAATCTCAGTATACCAATTTAATCTATTGTTATTTTCGCCCAATCCCATCAAATTAAAACGTGCCTATTTGAACGTTTAAAGACATTGGTAAAGCTTGTGTTTTTATAAGCTAGTTTTTTTATATAGAAACAGAAAAAAAATCTCATATTATGAAAAGTGCGGAAGGTTATTCTCGCTGAATTTAGATTAAGTGAGGGACTGAAAATGTCACAAAAAAGTATAATTCTCGGGTGAAAACCTTATTCTGTATTCACACGATCTCACGCATGAAAAATATTCTCGCCCTATATTAAATGCACGGCGGAAGGTCCGCAGCAGTAGAGATAGTGATGTGTGGAACAGTCAGAGGTATATGTTTTCTCTTAACTCTATTTCTGCGAAACCTGACAAGTTTACTATTTATTGAGACATTATAAAAATATCTTTAGAAAATAATTTTATCAGGCTACTTTGTTATATCGAAGACTTCAATTTTATAATGGCTTTTATAATGTTTTTTGACAGTATATATGTGTGCGACTAAATTTACGAATAATCCAGCCAAACGCGATAATTAGGCATCTCAATTATGCCAATTTTAATCCTTCCAAAGACAGGTGTTTCTTTTTTGGGGAAAGAATGCTTTGAATGGGGGAAGAAACGTTTTTTTCATGCAACATAGCTACAAAATAAAAATAAATATATTAACTAACGTTTTTTAGTCCTATTGAATAAATTAGAACTTGAAACAAAATTTTGTATAATGAGATGGAACCATGATTCTCTGTTCATAAAATACTGAAACTGATATCAGACATCAAAGACATATATTATTGTGTATTCGACTGGAATGTGCTTATTCAGTTATTTCTCATAAACGTGTCTGACTAACTGATGAATTATTAGTCATGAAAGGTACCTACCATTTAGGATTATTATTATTTTTTTTGAAGATTCGGTGGTTTTGATCTAATTGGACATCTTGCCACATGGGCGTTTCAATAAGAACCATTGTATGAGTTTTGCGATGTTATTGTTTTACAGTGTTGTAAGCCGTTATTTCATCTAATGAGTATTGTATCAGCTTAACACATCCATAAAACCCTGCGGCTTAATGTCAATATAGTCAAATATTTTTCTTAAAATCGGCACACAAACAGCCAAAGTACAGTAACTCAAACCTGTTTCAATAAGGCAAAACTAGCGCAGTCCTTAAAATCTCTTGCAGAACTAGAATGTCGAGTGACCACGCCATTCTCGAATACCTTCCATTATACAACCATTAAGTTCCATTAAAGTGCAAATCGATATCTCATATAGCATTGTCTTGTGAAAGAATGCGTTAATATGCGTTGCCGACGACAAATATCGGAAGGATCTCGCCGAGAAATGCTAAGAATGTTGGGAATGAGAATTACGTGACGAGACTATCGATATCAATAACTGGAGCGAAGTGAATATTTAACAAAATTTAGAAGTGACTAGTTGGTAGTTCATGTGTGAAGTTTTATATTGATGACCGTCTAGTGTTAAGCAACATTTTGACTTGTCAAATTTGAACAGCCCACTGAATAAATTGTGGGTTTAATGCGAAAACCAGCTAAATGCATTACATTTAGTTTTGAGTTACGGTGTTTTGGGTCAATTTACTAAAATTCTATAATTTTATTAGGTCTTTATTCTTTAGCAGTACAAATTAGGGTATATTAAAATGTTTCATTTTGGTTTGACCCAAGAACAATTTTTTTTATATCACGCAAATGCAAGAGTGAACAATAGGTAGCCCAGAAGTTAGATATCAAAGCATTTGCTTTGGCGGTGGTGTATTAAAAACAAAACAGATTTATGTATGAAACAGAAGCACAGGCAATAAGTTTTATATTAGAATCCGTGTTAGTATCATGTAAATATGAATTCCTAAAATTACTACCACGAACATGCGAAGTTCCAACTGGTGAGTCTGGTGAGATTGTTCATAGTGTGTTTACAAAACCATTGCAGTATTTTAATATAACATAGCACTTTATTATCTTATAAAGTTTATTTTTGTAAAATATTTCATGTTTTTAATCTTTTAATATCGATAAACATGAAATATTTACGACAGAGAATCATCTTAAACTAAACATTCTTTGAAAGTATTATTGAGTACCTTGAAACATTTTTTTCCAGGGAGCTATGCTTAGTCGTTGGTTATACTTAAATCGTTAATTTTGCTCGTCAAGCACTATCAAGCACATCAGAGGTCAAGTATTGAAATTTTATGCTCAGGGTACAACCGGAACTTAATAATACAGCGGATTAATGATGATGATACGGGGAGAAAGTAAAAAGCTTTACAATAGCAATGTCCGTTTATCATGATGAATTTATTTCGGTGTGTGTTTTAAAAACACATAATAGTATATTTGAAGTTGTTTGAATTGAAGTAACGTTATTTATTTCTTTGATTCCAGTGTGTTAATACTCAACAAATTTTATCCAGAAGAAAGATTTAAGGCGTGATGTACTGAGAGACTTAGATGGTTATGAACCTCACACTTGCTTTCAAGACTACATTAGATGCTGCTGCTCCAACGAGTCACGATTGGCTGACTCCTCGGTAAGCGACACGCTGCCTGATTTCAGCAACGAGATCAGTGATGTACCATTCGAACGAGACCGGTTTATGGATATTTTGCAACCTTGCTCCACAAGCGCAGAGCTTGCCCCATCCGAAAGGGAGCCAGCCACGAATATCTACAAAAATACAAAGGAAAAATACGGCCAAAGAAAAGTCAATTTCCATTGCGGAATAGATTGGAGATTCGGAACTAATACATCAGTAGCTAACCACCACTCTATGGAAGGTAATTAGTAAGGAAGAAAAATATCAATGGCCTCGCTGTATTCGAGGCCTATAGCGTTCTCATGAAGAAGTGTAAATAGATCAGTGGATAACGACCAGCCTGCGGCACGCAATAAGTAAAATACTGCTGGCTCCTAAAGAATTGCAGGAGTTGGAAAATAAATCAAATACAATTAAGAAAATATTTGAGAGAAGAGATATGAGAAGATTTCTTTGCATCAACAATCTTTATAAATAAAGAGAGAAGCGTTACTTTAAGCGTTTGTATAGAAGTAATCCCAGGTATTAAAAAAAACATGCTGTTTTCGTAATGAGGTTGAAAAATGTAATGAAATATTGAATTGATGCATACAAAAATAAAAAAACGATACACTAGAAGGTAGACGAAAATAATTTGAGTACATGACGTAGGCGGTGCGTGGGTATTATGGCAGGATCTGAACAGCGTTTATTTAAAAAAAAGTCTAAATGGATATTCTTCTTGTTAGCTAACAAAAAAAAAACCACCAAAAATGCATTTTTGTTAAATGTATGGACATGATGTGGTCTTCTGTGACTAGGAAAGCACACAAACTCGATGTTATTGTAAACCTAATATGGCATGTACGATGTATTCCTTCTCAGTTATCCAAATAAAATAAATAAATCAACCAATTTTAGTTTCTTTAGTTAGTAAATTAATATCCGTAATAGTGTTTTCATTGTTTTTCATTGGCACAATGAATATGAATAACTACAATTAAATTAAAACAATTTTGTCTTATATGGCAGAATGCATGGCTACCTTTGAGATGAGTTGCAGAAAAGTGCTAAGAATCTTAGTAGCTCACCATCTTTAGCTATTCAAACATCAAAATTTGCAGATTTCAAATCGAACATCATTTCTGGATTTCAGTTTTAAAAAAAGTTTGCTAAAGCATTGAATGTCTGAGGATAGGGATGAAGACAACACCACAATCAGCTGTAACTAATGTTAAATACTCTCTTAAAATTTGAGACTTTTAAAGGAATTACTTTTCAAGGGATGACACACGACACTGCCATAGGATGGGAAGACCTGCAGGTCCTAGAAATACAGGACCTTGGGGAAAATTTAAGGTTCGATAAAATGAAACTCGAGAGGTATGACACACTGTTTGAGTTTATAACTGGAACTAGACACGAAGTCTATGGCTGCACGAGAGTGGTTTGGAGTCTTCAAGTGCTGGACACAAGGGGGTCACGTCAATATCCTTAACCCTAATGAGACACGGCTTTACTTAATAGACTTGATGGTAATACGGAGAATACAGCACCGTACGAAAAAACTACGACCAAACGAACGTTCACAAAAAAATATTAAGTTATGTAGTTCATAGTCATACTACTTTGCACATTAACTATCTTTTTTTTTTCATTTAAATTAATTAGTTTTTATTCATGTATTTTTAGGAAACTAACGCCGAGTATATTAAAATTAAAATTACTCTTAACACAACAAATAAACTTAAAAAAAGGTTTAACTCTGTCCTACTCATCAACTCGATATTCGTTTTGCTTGCCTGACTGACTGGGTTTGACAATAGTCTGACATTTAACATGACAGTATGTTTGACAGATTACGCTAGGCATATTGACCAGTGTTTAATTTACGCAGTTATTCTTTATATTCTCGTTTCGAACGTTTATGAAATATTTTCAATACAATCCATTATTCAATACATTTTATTAAAAAATATTTTTACATATTATTTTTATGATAATGTTTACGAAGTTTTCATATCTATACTAATATATTATAAATCTGAAGAGTTTCTTTGGTTGTAGCGCTGATCGCAGGAACTGGTTCGAATTAGTAATTTTTTTTCGGTTGGGTAGCGCATTTATCAAATAAGGCAAACATATTGCAAAAACGGAAATATTCCTTTAGAGAGACGCCGATGAAGTTGGATAGTTCTCATTAGACCTGCACCTGTTTGAATTCGTGTTCTCTGCACTTTTTAGTTTAATTATTATTATTAGTTTTGAATTCAATTTAAAAGTAGTTTAACTACAATATACTACTACAACTGAAAAAAAGGTAGCAATTAATTTTTCTTTTTTTAATATTGATCAAAATACGGAGTCTGTTAAGGTAGGTATTCTGTCACAATAACGGCTACCCTCCCAGAACAGTGCATTCATACACAGCCTTTACTAGTCCCCATAGACATAGACTTATCCAAGGAAAGGAGGTTTTGGCCTACTATACCAAGCTGGCCAGACAGTTTGGTATAGGGATTTGTTTCAATTTTCCTTCTCTTTGCAGTGCTGTTAATCATCTTTTTTTGCTCACTCATACACGAGGGACCCTTGAACAGTGCATTAATATACTGATTTGAAATTAAAATAAAACTTATTTAATTATTTTATTACTTAATATATAAGGGTAAAGGCCATAAATATCTTGAATTACAAGTACATAATTAGGTAGTATTTTAGTAGTAGGAGTATTATTATATCATTGATTATTCTAGGTGTAAGTGACACCTATAATATTCAACGATATGAATAACTACATTTAAAAAAAGACAGACGAAATTCGATTCGTCAGGCTATTTCTAGAAATTGTAAACTAAACATTTTTTGGGAAATTAGGAATGCCTTTAAATTACTTGTAATCATTATAATGATACTAATTTCATTATTTAGTGACTAAATAACTTAAATAACTTAATGTAATCAATTAATTTAAAATACTTTTTATGTCAAATAAACATCAATCATTGGCGAGAATGGCGTTAGTATCACGTCGCCCCAGCCCCGGATCTACAGGTCAAAACCGGGGCACCCTCTCCGGACGCTAGTTTCAGGGGACGACAAATTCATAACATAATGCGGTTTAAAATGCGGATTACCGTCCATAGACCCCTTACGCCGTGTTTTAAAGTTATTTATCTCAAACGCAGGAGACGGGGCGCTATTATTAAGTTTCGGCCGGTTATTATTAAGCCTCGGTTCGAAAAAATCGTATATCCGGGGCTGCTGTCCCATAGTCACTTTAAAAAACAAAACAAACTCATTAATGGAAGTAAACAAAGATAAGATAATCTAATGATTAAACATCAACAAGAGCAAAGATAGTAAGGGAACCTACAAATATTTAACTTTAATGTAATAACTTAGCGCATCTCACGCGGCAGTCTATTCCCAAACTAGGCAGAGCATGTGCTATGGTTATCAGACAGAATATTATAGATTACGAGTACTAACCCCCAGGCACAGAAAAAGGTTCATGCTTATCACACTATAATTTGTCCTGGGTGGGAATGGAACCCTTTTTTTTTTTTTTTTTTTCCGTGCGGAAATCCCCTCGGATACCACTTGTCGGTGGCATGTCGGACTCGAACCGACTAAAACCGCACGCCGTCGCCGGGTACTAATAGCCGGGGAACCAGGTATACCCTAGAAAGGAAGTCCCTGGTGGAGTGGGAATGGAACCCACGACTACTCTGGCCAGTTGTATGAGCGAAGTTTTTTTTAATAGTATAAGGCGGGGTACGGGTCACAACGATTCTAAAGAAATTTCACTTCAAAAATGTAAACAATTAGACCTTGACATATTATAGTGTGGCTGGTCAGCAATTGCTGAGGCGGGCACTTAGTTTTGGGTTATTTTCAGAATCCTAATTATGTGTTGTATTCTTTATTAATGTAAAATAGCTTTTAAATACTTTTTTCTATTTATTAGGACTTATTACCGCATTAGTAATATATTCTGTGTCGCGACGGACTTTACAAACATACATGAAACGGACTCAAAGAATACCCAGACTCAGGACAACGATTTGTGGATCACACAAAGTGTAGTCCTATATGGGGATCGGACCCACAACACTCAGCGTAGAAGTAAGCGGCGTGGCGACCGCTTAAACCACTCCGCCATCCGCCACTTACTTATTGTAAACTGTTTTCTATTCGTGAAGACCTGTTAGTGGCTGAATGTAACCTATATAATATTAAATCAATTTATAAACCAGTTGGTCTTCCAAGAACAAATAAATAAATATTCTGCGACTGAACTTGGAAGTGTTGTTTTATAAATGATGTAGTTTAAATTGTTAAACATGTTTTTACATTAAAATATCATTAAATATTGCAAAATTAACAAACACGCCATTAGGTTAATAGCAAAATAAGTGATTATCAAATCACCAAACAACAGTTTGTATAGAAAACTTGTCCCTCGTTATATTTCCTAACTAGCTGGTGTCTACGTTCGCGTGGAATTTGAAAAGCGCTGCCTTGGTGGGTTCGATTCCCGGACCGGGCAAAAGAGTTTTTCTAAGAGTAAAAATAGCCTAAGTTACTCCTTATATAGTCAGCTACCTGGTAGTAAAATATTATTCAAATTGGTCCAGCCGTTTAGAAGATTACCCGAACAAACAGACAGACAAAAAAAACTGGTTTTTAGGCATAGCTATCCTGCAAATAACCGAGTGAGCATTAAAAAACCTATTATTTTGACATTACAAAAAGACACTACAATTTTATTTATTTGTATACTCGTAGATAATAAAAATATCATGAATTTATTGTAATACCCACCTTCTTAGTATTTTAGTAACATGAAGATAGCTGATAGACGATCTAAGACGATCCTACCTGAAGATAAGCTCAAATAAATGTAACACTGTAAATTTGTGAGTTTACGGTATCAGAAACCAAACGTTGGAATTAGACCTGACCAAATATTGTTCCCTGCCGTATTTTTCAAAAATTAGATTTCACATTTTTATTTTACAAATTTAATAATCTTATATGAAATAGATTTCTATGTGTAGGTAACAGAAACAAAGTAAATAAATTATAATCAGAGTCTTTTTTTTCCTCCTATATAGCTATATATTAGCATCTATGTTGGTATCAAGTAATTAACGATTCCCAAAATTACTACCATGAAGATGCGTAGGTTCAACTGCTGAGTACACAGAAATCGTAATAATAATACACAGTGTCTTATTATTACGATTTCTATGGGTGAGTATCAC